CTTATCAAAGTTTTAATTTCAAGGGAGCTGAGCAAACAAAAACTCTCGGATTGAGCTGGAATCCACATAAAGACGTTTTCCTTTTCGAGTCAAAAATTGATATATCTAACGATTGCGAAACCAAACGCTCTTTATTATCAAATATATCGAAATTATTTGACCCCCTCGGTTGGTTATCACCACTTTCCACAAAGTTGAAAATTGTCTTCCAAAATGTGTGGCTATCAAATATCAAATGGGATGATCAATTGCCCGATCAAATAAAATCAGAATGGGATAAAATAAAAGGTGACATTATTAATATCAATAAAATACAAATACCACGTTGGATTGAAACCCGAGAAGGCGACACAATTGAATTGCACGGGTTTTGTGATTCATCGAATAAAGCTTACGCTTGCGTTATATACTGTAGAATCAAAAGGGGCTCAAATACAACAATAATGTTATTAGTAGGGAAATCAAGATTAGTTCCTACAAGCACAAAACTCTCTCTACCCAAATTGGAGTTGAGCGGAGCTCTACTTCTATCAAAATTAATGTCAAAGGCAAAAGAATGTTTAAAAGGATACGATATCAAAATTTATGGGTGGTGTGACTCAATGATTGTTTTAGGGTGGCTCAACAGAGATCCATCGTTTTGGAAGACTTTCGTTGCTAATCGCGTGAAAGAAATAGTTAAAGTAATGCCGCGAAAGTGCTGGCGTTATGTAAAATCGGAACAAAACCCCGCCGATTGCGCCAGTAGAGGGTTAACAGCATCTCAATTAAAAGCGCATTCTACGTGGTGGGAAGGTCCGTCCTGGCTAAGAGATTACAATGAGTTAGAAGAAAAACAAATAAAATTTGATACGGAACAGGAAGTCAGAAAAGAAAGTTTAGTTAACGTCGTCACCGAAAAAGCCATAAAAAATAATATCATATATCATTTACTACAAAGTTGCAGTTCATTTAACAAAATTATCAGAATAATCTCTTGGATGTTGCGGTTAATTTCGAAAGGAGAAAAGAAAAGCTACATAACACTTTCTGAGTTAGAAAGAGCAAGAAATATCATTATAAAGAATGTCCAGCACCTTGAATTTCAGAAAGAAATTGGTTGCCTAAAATCAGGAAATACTATTCACCCGAAGAGCAAAATATGTGAATTAAATCCCTTCGTAGATAAAAACGGTCTCCTTAGAGTCGGAGGACGATTAAAAAATGCAAATATCAATCCAAACATGAGACATCCCATTATCATACCGAAAAGTAGCCGTTTATCAGAACTGTTGATCGATCATTATCATAAAACTTGTCTTCACGGCGGAGCGAGACTAACAGCATCATATACCAGACAAAAGTTTTGGATCATAGGTGGAAATCGTTTAATCAAACAACATCTTCGAAAATGTGTAACGTGCAAAAGACACGAACCTGTAAAACATAGTCAGATGATGGGTGACCTACCCGTAGCTCGCGTTACTCCAACAAGACCATTTTATAACTGCGGAGTCGACTTCACGGGCTTCGTAAATATCAAAGCCAACAAAGGCCGAGGTATCAAAACAAACAAGGGGTACATCGCAGTGTTTGTGTGCATGGTGACTAAAGCTGTGCACATAGAATTAGTATCAGATTTAAGTTCATCATCATTTCTAGCAGCGTTGAGAAGAATGGCGGCAAGAAGAGGTGCCCCTCGCAACATCTATAGCGACAACGGCACAAACTTCGTGGGTGCATGTCGCAGTCTCAATGAAGAATTTATTAACTTGCAATCGACATTAGATAATAATTTTTTCACTGCCATCACAGATATGGAAATAAATTGGCATTTTAACGCCCCATCTTGGCCCACTGCCGGAGGCCTTTGGGAAGCGGCTGTTAAAAGCCTGAAATATCACATCAAAAGAGTGATCGGAGAGCAAAACTTAACATACGAAGAATATTCAACCCTTTTATCGCAATTGGAAGCCTGTCTAAATTCCCGACCGTTATGTTCTCTGACTGAAGACATTGAAAATATCGATTATCTAACACCATCTCATTTTTTGTCAAGTGGACCCACATTAACCATCATAGAAACCGAGAGAGACCTGAGAACAAGATGGCAATTAACCCAGAAAATATTTACCGATATATGGAAAAGATGGAAAGTTGAGTACCTATGTCAGTTATCGTCTCGATGCAAATGGCGTCAACCTAAAGAAAATGTCAAAGTTGATGATGTAGTCCTAATACACGATGCTAACCTTCCTCCAGGAAAATGGGCACTCGGTCGTATCATAGCCTTACATCCCGGAAGTGACGGTTATGTGCGAGTTGTATCAATTAAAACAAAAAACGGTATAATCAAAAGGCCAATTACAAAAATATCAAGATTACCAGTAGCTACCGAAGAACAGCCAAATCAGCAAGAAAGTACTGCGAAATCAAAAGTAAAAAATATCACGACAGCAGCCGCAACAGTGGAAGGGAAACCGAGAAAAGTTCATAAAAGTATCAATTTATTTAATTACTTATTCATCATATGTACACTTATATTATCATTCAGTGGATCAGCATTCTGTAGATACAAAACATCCAACCTAAATACCAGTCAAAGTGTATATTTTGATAAAATCGCTAATGTACGTATTGAGAGAAACCAGTGGAAACTAGTAATTTACTATGATTTGTCTCCATATTGGACGGGAACAGCATTACTAAGTAAATATATAAATCACGCTAAATCACCTCGAAAACACATGTTTCACTACCGGCAATAAAAAGATATCACAATGCAACATTATACTACTCCAATTACATCACGGGTTCACCGAGCTCGAGCATTACAACAGTGTTTTGCTCGGTCAGCAGCTCCCAGGAAGTGAGCCGAGTGCGCGCACGCGACTCCGCCGCGGTCTTATCAATGGGATCGGAAACATTGCAAATCAGCTATTCGGACTTCTTGATAGTGACTTCGCTCAAAAATATGAAAACGATATAGAGCTTCTTAGATATAATCAGAAACACTTAGCAAACCTATGGAAAAATCAAACTTCGATAGTGGAAGCCGAGTTTAACTTGATCAAGAGAATAGAACAAACCATCGACAAGCAACATAAAGTTTTTAACACTCATTTAAATAATTTAGAAAAAGCACTGAATATACAAGAAGATGAGATACAACTTTTAGAGTATTCCAGTGATTTTATTACGTCCTCTGTTATCGCCAATAATCTAATAGTAAATTTGCGACATATTCAAGAAACTTTAATCGATTCTATTACGGATACTTACCACGGAAGATTTAATTTTCACCTTCTCACACCAGAACAGCTACTCAACGAGTTTAGTATCATATCAAGTTTATTATCAAAGGAGTTAACGTTGCCGATAAACAACATTCAGACAGATCTCTCGAGTATGTATCATTTACTTAGTGTAAAAGCGAGAGCCCTGAAAACCTTTATCATATTTGAAGTAAAAATTCCCTTAGTTAGTCGAGACAATTACGAAATTTACAAACTAATACCTATTCCACAGCAATTAGAAGATAATATTAAAACCTCAGACCAAATTTTATTTGGTCTGAGATTAAAACAATAACGCCAATATCAGATTACATAGCAATGAACTTACATAAAGATACCTATATTCGTATGACGCATTCCGCTATACAAAGCTGTGATGTCTTTAATAGCGAACTTATATGTTCATTAAAGCAACCTTATTTGATATGGATTCAAGTGACGATTTATGTGTTAAAAATCAGAATTCTACACAATGTAAGACTAGCACTGCATTATGTCAAGATAGATGGGTAGAACTTCACAAAACTAATAATTATCTATTTTTCTGTTGCAATTATTGTAACGTGCGGATCATATGTGAAGATCATGTTACCGCTACAAAGCTATACAAAGTAGGAATAATAACATTAAGTAATGGATGTATAATTAAATCGAATACCTTTACTATTTACTCTCGAGACGAGTTATCAAATGTTTTGAATGAGACTCTGAATGTCCTTCAAATCGATATTCCGCCGATCAATCACATTTTAAATATCTCAGTTCCTGTCGATCACATAGAATCGACATCGATATCATTTTCTGATCATCAAAGATATATAAAAGAAATAGAGCAGAAGATAAAGAATTTGGAAGTTGACGCGAACGACGACACTTTAGCCGAACGTATATCCTATCACGACGTTCATCACTACGTGGTCATATATCTGGTACTGGGTGCCGGAGTGACTGTGGGTGCAGTGATAGTTAGGCGTCGCCTGGCGCGAGCGCGCACGGCGCCTGAGCCACCGCTGCCTGCTGCAGGTGTCGCAACTCTGACTAGCGATGCTAGTCCTTCTTCAGTTCAGTGTTGTGCTAGTGTAGTTAGTGCGTGTAAAGATAGCTCAAATAATCAGTGCAGTGAAAGTGCTATCGTGAATAGTGTAAAAACAAAAAGTGCGCGTGTGTCGGTATCAAAAGATAGGTCTACGTCTCCGACGTTTACCAGACATCTCTCACTCTAATTTTAAAAGATTTTAAGAGAATATTGTTTAATCATCTTGTTAGTAGAATAAGTTAACAATGTATATCATCTTGTCGCACGTCATTCATAATCATTTCTTAATACTCCCACCCCCTATCTCAGGCCCGGGAACATGTACGAGCCAACTCGTACAGTTTTGTCTAGTAATCATTTTACGCTACATTCATTAATTTAGGTCAATTTGTAGTTAGTTCCTCATCGGTAATCAATCACGCCGCGCGTACTCATATCATTATCATTCCATATATCAGTAAGTTTAGTTTACTTGTTACAATATATCAATTATAATATATCAAGACTTTTACTTCTCTCTCTCTATCATAAAAAGGTGTACGAACCGTACAGTCATGGAGAAATCAAGATAGTAACGTAGCGACATCTAGTTTGATATTGATTTTCTTTTAACTTGTGTCTCATTGTGTAACCTAAAACGTTACACAGGTAATTGTTTGTAAAATGAAACATCAAACACTTATATTTTTAAACCAACTTTATTTTTAGCTAAAATATAATAATTCATACATGAAAGAAGTTTCCTAAGTATACTGTAATAATACCGCAATAATACAATAATAATAAAAAAAAATACAAAATAATTGATACAAAATCAATTAAAAATAGCTACCTCATTTAATACTCTCGAGATTGCCTTAAAGTATAGAAAAAAAATACAAATATATTTCTATTGTGCGGGTCTGAGCCATGTCCGTAGGTAAAACCAGAAAAAAATAAACATTCAGATCTTAAAAATATATATAAAATGTAAAAATGGGAAATGGGTGTTGGACGGTTATCAAGTGTAAAACAAACAACACATCTTTTATTATTTTGATATAACAAAACTTGTTTCTCTGTCTGGCGTGCCAATGCACGATAATGCGGTAATCAAACAAAAAATCAACTACAATAATCCTCCTAATGGCACTAAAATGTTCTAAAGGAACCACAATTTAGAAGAAGAAACACAAACGTACAACACACGACTCGCTACACTCCCTCGAACGAATCATATCACTTTTGACAACTCACGAAACAACACAAGTAAAAAATCAGTAGTGTCATTGTTTTTTTGACAAAAGTGACACCAGTCAAAAGTGAAAACTGTCAAAAGTGATAAATCGTCGAGTGAACGAATAACAACGTGCAGAAAAGTAGTGGGGTAACGAGAAACGACACCCGGTCGTCTACAGTACATACGTACACCAATGATTATGTCCAAAAAGATTGCTTATGTTTACATCCAGTGTCCCGCTTATATATCTATACTAATATGGCAGATGGACCATGATATGCAACACCTCGATAGAGACGGAGCTATGCGGCGCGAGCGAGACCGCTATACACCGTTCACAAGCAAGTAGTTGAAAGAAAAACCTAACTAATTTTCTTAAAAGCTACGTGGGCCGATGCGATCACTGCCATTTCCCACTTTTTATAGTGTCAAATCTAACATATAGCCACTTAGTACCTAATTGTTAGTAAAAATTCCCTTAACGCATTCAAAATATATATATAATTAATTATATAGTTTTATAATAGCTGATCCTAGACAGACACCATCTGTATAAGTGTATATCGTAAAACTATGTTTTTATTTTTCAAATAACTCTGTGCCTAATATACATTTAAGCCGATTTTTGTTTGAGAAGCTCGTAAAGGGTAGAAATATTTTGGACTTTTTTCTTTTGCCTTAAGACAAAACGTTCACTACTTCAGAAAAAGCCAGGTGGCTTTTGTACCACAACTTATTCATAAATGCATTTTTTTGAACAATGATTTCCGTATTGAACATAAATTCACCAAAAAGAAAACCAACATGACGCAACGACGCGTTCATATGGAGTTCTATAATCTCTACACAACTCCTAATGAACGTTCGTCGAACATTTGACAAGGAAAGCGACAACGAAACGCAACAGGGACGGAGAAACAAAACGCAACTCGCCGGCGCCATCTTGGAATTCCTTTAAACAACTTGCGCAGCATTAGTAAAGCTTACTTAGTAATATACATTAGTAGTATCTGACTTATACTAAACTTACCACTTCATACGAAATTACATCGACTACTAAATATTTTTAATACATACAATGTTTTATCTTTTTTTCCCTCTTATCATAAATAGAAATTAATAGAAAAATTGTCGAAGAGACCGAACTACGAAAGCAAGCAAGGACAAACCGTTCGTTTTACGTATAAACATTTTGATATGATCATTATTTTTGAAATCTTACACATAATTATACTATCAAAGAAATGTGCTGCAAAATCGACGGACTGACGTGATTGTTTCCATTTACATTTAAAAGTACGGGATTATAAATGTCGCTCATTCACATAAATCAAAATAACACAACAGGCGTTAATTAATTTATTAGAACCAGATTAGTTACAATATAGATATTGAAATATCGTACCTAAGTGGTATCATAACACATTTTTTTAAAATTACCTATATAATTTAGGATTTAGTTAATATAAAACGAAAATAATGTCAGTTGTTAAATACAAATAATGAAACAAAATATTTTGTCTGTAAATTGTACCATCACAACCTCTATGCATTCATCTATTTATTTTCATACTTGCTACTAATAAAAAAAATTGTGCGTACGTCCGTCGATCGCAGATTTGTGCTACGACTGTGCGAAAGCTAGTAACAACTACGCACGTCTCAAATTATATAATTTATCAATTATAAAAAATCAATTCCTTATCTGTGTACAAGATGAAATGGCTCACATGCAATATAAGCTGCCTTGAGTTATATTTCTCAAACTATACAAAAAACAGAAATAAGTGTTGGATTAAAGAAAAAATAAACTAACTTCAGAAGATATGTAACATTATTGCTAGTACCGTAAAGTATTTTACATTAATAAAGAAAACTGAAATGCAGATCAGTCGTTTTGAAAACGAAGTGGTCAGCCGACAGCCATATTGCAGATAGGCAGTCGAGCGCGAACGAGAGGGCGCCTGTGCGAAAGAGAGACGGCGATAGGTGCAGTGCGTTAAGTACTGTGCTCGGGAGGGAGGAGGGGAGATTACATCGTGCTGTTGTCCCACTCCAACTGGCTGATGTTCCTGTATTTGTGTTGTTTACCACGCATCACTGGAATTATTAAATTAATTGTATATATTTTCCAATTATGCATTCAGTAAAATTAATACTGTTATATGATAGCGATTAAAATTTCAATAAAGTCGTGACGCGTTCTGATTATTAGTTATAATATGTTACTGTATAAATGAGACTATTGCGCTTAATAAATAAAAGTGAACAGTTCGAATCCCGTTACGACGAAAATTTAGGCAAGGGGTAGCAACCCCTTCAATACTATCTCAATAGCACAATGGTTAGCGCATTAAGTCTGCAGAGAAGTCTTAATGCAGAGATTAAGCAAAATAATCACATGGGCCGGTTAGCTATTGGATTTGTGACTAATATTTATTCCACTTTTCATATTTTCGGGGTTCGATTCTTAAACAACTCAATAAACTTCGCTATATCGTCTATATTCTTGGTGACTGTTGCTTGTTTCATATTTATATAATAAAGTGTTTTAAATAAATGAAAATAAAAACAAGAATTGATATAGTACGGGATCTGTGTATGGATTTGTGTAACATTTCTTTAGTTCCGAAGATAATAATGGGTAGTGTTGTGTAGTGTAGTGTAGTGCACTGCAGTCCAGTGTAGTATAGTGCAGTGCAGTGTAGTGTAGTGTAGTGTAGCGTAGTGAACTGACCGTGGTCATCGTCATCATCGTCAGAGTCGTGCCTGTCGGACTCGGAGTCTGAGCATGACTCCCCATCCGAGCTGTCTGCCACAGCTGCGTGCCTTGCGCATGATCCGCCCGTCTATAAACATATTTATTAACGTTATATAAAAAAAAAAATACAAAGTACATACATATTTGCCACAATTTCGGCAAATATTTGATAATAAAAAGAAAATATGTAATCGTTTTTTTCTTGTGATTTTGGTTTCGAACGTAATGTCAAAGAATTAACATGTCGTCTATATAAATGTTTGCACATATGATTACAGATTAGATTAATTGTGAAGTTTTTTTTTATTATCAATAGATAAAAATTGAGACCTAATACTTATTACAATTTGTTCAGGATTAACATAAATATGCTAACTTAAAAAAATAATAATAATAAAACTGACTTCAAACTTAATAAAGTGAAAAATAATACTTAAATTACTCAAAAGCGACTTAGGGCCAGTTTTTTGATCCGTGGTTAACGCAACCATTTGTTAAAATCTATGACAAATGGTTAAATATCAGAAAAATATGTTTTTTTGATTAATAGTTAGACTAACCAATTGTCAGAATTACAACCATTTGTCAAAACATTTAACCATCACTGGAAGCTAGGTTAAGTAAATGACCAATTGTTAAAAGAACAGATGTACAACTGCGTTGTATTTACTTGGTCCCTTGTTATTGTTTTTTACGTTGTTTTTATAACCTACATGATTTCATAGTGAATTTGTACATTAGCTATTTTTGGGATTTCGTTTTATGATGCAATTTCATAGGAAAATATTAATTGTCATTTTTTGGTTATAGGGTTATTGAAAATAAGTTATATTTTTATCTTGATCATCCTTAGTATATTTGTACTATATAGAAAGAATTTTCTTGTTTCCACGGGCAGATGCCAAATTATTCAATTATTAAAAATCTTATAAATTCCACGAATAGACAATACAAAAGGTAAATATGCCTACAGTAAATAAAATACATAGTCCTTGATTTATTTTCCAACGTTACAATCCCACCTTGGATACTAGATACTATATTCTTTTCACGTTCAAGAAAATGCTACTAAAGTCGTCATAAATTGTTATTTATTTTATTCTATTCCTTATGCACAATCGTACAAAAGTGGACTCTTAATGCCTTAGGCATTGTCTGCCAGTCAACCTTGCTATCCCATGGTTGCCTGAAAGAAATATCTATAAGGCCGCCAATTGTTACATAATTTTGTAAAACTGTTTTAAATTAGTAAATGTAACTTGTGTAATGTTAACAATAAATAATTTGCTATTCTATTCTACATATAGTAGTACTTAAAAGTACATTAGATCGCTAGACAAGGACGCAATCGTGCATGAAGCGGTAGGCCTTCCTCTGTAAACTAATCTAGATCGCGAGAGCGTGTATGCGTACGTGGCATGATAATCTTCCAGGAACCCATTGCGCGGCCAGCCACGAAGCAAGTTCGCGATGGAGTGTTCTACTAACGCCGTGTCGCTTGCTAGTTGGTTAAAGCATTTCCTAGACGTAAAAAGAAGATGGTATAGTGACCTCGTCCATGGGGTTGACGGTGATGGTGAGGGCGGAATCGTCCCAGGCCATGTCGGGGTCGCGCGGGTGCGGGCGGGGGCGGGCGCGGGGGGCGCGCGCGCGGGCAGCACGCGCCGCCCCCAGCGCCGCTAGCGCCACCACCGCCCCGCACGACACTACGCCGATCAGCAGCGCCACGTGGTCTACAAACATACACACCACTGTAGTTATTATCTAAGGATTCAATCAATGTAGTTACAGTCGCTGTAATTGGTTTATAAATAACGAATGTTGTATTTATTTGTAATATGGTAGTCACGAAATTGCACAAAACCTAACACTTACATCGTAATAAACGTAGAAATTTTGATTTTAAGTCTTAAAATCGTGCGGTTATCTTAAAATTAGAAAATTAGTGAGTTTTTGTTAATGTGTCATGCGACTTGAAACACGACCCGCCATTGTGTGACGTCACTGTGGCGATAACTTTCAGTCACAGTCACAAAGATATGCTTAATAATTAGATATTTGATATCTTTTGTTGAATAATCTAAAAAACACAGTCCGGCACAGAGATGGAATTATACCTTTAACCTCGAAAAGAGCGTTAAAATTTCAAGGATGAAAGTTCCTACAAAAATTCTGCAGCGCTTTGGAAATTGCTGCCCAAAACATTTATAACACGTGGCCGGAGTTACGATTAAAAGTTAATAAACAAATAAATGGATATACAAACTATCGTACTAGATAAATCTCTTTTGAAAGCAATCTTAGGACGCCACGTATTACTTAAAATTTTTACTATAAATAAATGCACATTACACATTCGGCTGATTCAGTTGTTCTTATTTACACCATTAGTCCATCAATTATTATCATCGCTATTATCAGTAATATAATTTAACATATCCTGTCTTTTGTCGGCCCTCATCTCGGCGTTCTGCTTCTCTGTTAACGGTTACATTAAAATTTTGCTGACGCTCGCATATTTCGTTTTAAAATCATATTTCTTGAGATTAATCGGTACTTATTTCACTAATAAATGAATAACTGCTGTAATTTTTATTTATTATAAATTACAAAACTCACTGTTAGGTGAATGGTCGGCGCGCAGGTCTATGAGGCGGGGCGTGGGCACGTCCGCGGAATGCGCGTCACGTTGCGCGTGCGCAGCGTACGCGCGCGGAGACATCGCGCGGCCCTCGTGCGCGTGCGCGTGTCCACTCTGTCACAACCACATAACAACACGATACAGCGATTAAACATTTCACAACAGACGTTTCTTACCAAATTTCATGTATTCTCAAGTATTTCATAAGATGGACTAAACAGACAGCTCTATCTACCTTTGAATATTACAACCTTCGTTTTAGTTTTGTAACAAAGCTCTTTTAAATGATTAATTCGCTCTATGATATGACTTATTCACTTTTTGTTCAAGAGATCTCTGAAAGTGATTTAATTGTCTTCATTAAGTTGTGTCATTTATCTTTCCAGTGTAAGGATAAATAACACAAAATATTTACAATCGTGCCGATATTAACTTTACAAAAAAATATTAAATAAAAATATTTCAAACACACAAATTTCATTTTGCGTTTTTCCAATCATGAAAAAGTTATAATGTTATTTAGATAACACATTCCTAATAAGTTTACAGACAGATTATTAAACTACTTCTGATATTAAACTTTAATTTTATTAGGGTTAATCAATTTCGAGAAGATGAATAAGAATTTTGTATGAACTGAAATAAAGATAAATCATTATCTGAAGCCATAATTAATATATTTCAAATGTTTATGGAAAAACATGGTCTCGAATATTATAGTTAAACAATAAAGCAATAATTTTACCTGTGTGTCGCGAGCAACATTATCAAGCTTGTCAGCGACTCCACTGGGATGCAACTCACGAGACAAGCCCTCCCCGGACATGTGCGGGTGTACAACAGTTAGCTGCGACAAAATCAATCCTAAATTATTGCAACACGAAATACTAGATGAACTGAAAGACGTAGCGTTAGCGCGTTTGGTCATCATCATCATCACCAGCCCTTTTACATCCCCACTGCAGGGCTCAGGCCTTCCTTATGGATGGTTAAGGAGGATGGGCCATGACCCTCCACGCTGGCCCAATGCGAATTGGAGGGTATTAACGACTACAAATGCGGCCGGGACCAACGGCTTAACGTGCCTTCCGAAGCACGTAGTAACTCGAGATAATAATTTTTTGGTCACCATCCCGTGACCGACCCTTGCGAAAGTAACGACTACGATCGCGGGCCGCGGCGCTTATCCACTACGCTACGAGGTACTCTATACTCTCGTTTGGTCTCCTATAACATATTTATTAATTATTAATATCGAAGAAATATTTCGATATTTTCATGAGATGTAAATTAGCAGATTATTCTTCCAATACATTTTTGTACTGACGTCTAGGAATAGGGTAAATAATGAAATGCCAAGAGATGAGAATTTTTAATAAAGAATTTAACGTAATCCATATAAAACTTATCTCTGCATCAAAGTTCTAGGTAAATATAGACAGTAGTAAATCATGAATAATAATATATGGATATATTTAAGGTTATGATGATAATACATCCTTACAGTTTGCACGTATTCGTTGCTGGTGAAACGTCCATTTAGCTCGGAACAAGTCAGTTTGAACACACGGTTCAAATAGTACGCCGGCTTCTTGTTGCTGTACTCGATCTCGCGCAACACCTGCGCAAAGTACAATAAATATATATATATATATATATATATTTACAACAAATTAGAATATTAGTACATAATAAGCTTCGATATAATAAGTTAAATTGAAAAAAGTACACTGCTATACCTCTTACCAAACTTTCCTGGAAATGTTATGAACGTTTAAAGAAGGAATTGGTTTTCGTTAAATCAGAGTGGGCATTTTCAATAAAATTTATTTGGACACAGTTCAATTTCGATTGAGAGTCATCTTCATTTATGACATCTATTTATATATTTCTCTTGCTGCAAATGGAGTAGTGACAAATAATTAAATCACATTTCGAAAAATTATAAATACGTGTATAATATAATCAAAAAGATTAATGAAATAAATTGTCTTTCCAGTAAACTAAATTTTGATCGTTATCAGAGTAACCATGACCGCTTTGCCAAGAAGACACAGGATTGAGAGGAGGCATGTAGATATTTATTTCTTCTTTATTACATTTAGAAACATAAAAGGAGGACTTACTGTTAAACGGCAAACCAACTTGTGTAAGCCATAATTGTGTTGATAATTAAATAAAAAAAACATAGAATATATTACTCGTACGTGAACTGTCAGTTGCGTTTTATTATGACAAATTACTAACACCAGTAATGCTTTGAGTATTTTATAATTATTATTTCAATCCTTTTCCCGATGAAGACAAATCCAAAAACACGAATATCATAAAACAAACGGTTCAGCCGTTCCGGAGTTATAAATGGTGTTACTAACACCACTTTCTTTTATATAAATAGATAATGTTTAGTGTACCTTCTGGTAGTTGTGCACGGTATCGGCACCGGCGAGTGCCACTCCGTCCCTGGTGACGGCTGCGCGGATGTCTACCTGCGCAGGGGCCGCATCCAGGGACAGGGACAACGCCTCGTGATCCGGATTCAGAGCCGGGTACACTGACACCACACACGAGTCCAGCTTCTGGCTCTCCGCTTCTGTACAGCACGTTATATAACAATCACACACTATAAGTTATATTATGGTCGCCGATCAGAGAGAATTTCGTACGTTAGCTTTTGTGCTTACTGATATATATATAGGGTACCAATTGTATACATATAGTGCCTATCGTATACAATTTAGGTTCACTTTACTATGGCAAAATTGGCTAGATGCATCTGTGCGAACACAAAAGCAGTATGTTTGCGTACGAGTGAAAGAGATATGTAATGCGGGGGATATTGGTACCAAATTCTATGTGGTCGGTGACCGTGCTATTAAAACTATTTCATATATCCAAAGACGAAATTCTGAAATTTTAGCATCAGGATTCCAGTCTGACAGAACCTGATATTTTCCTATTATTGTTGCAATAGTGAAGCGCAATCGTATAAATTGTAGCACCTTTATTATTATCATTATTTTTGAAATTTTATATAATATGTAAATGTCTAAAATTGTTATTTTATGCTGTAATAAATAATTCGTTCATTCGTTGAATTATTTATTTATTGTTTAAAATATAACACAAACAACGGACGTAATGCCTAAGGCATTCTCTACCAGTCAAACCAGTGTGGCAGAAACTGAAAAGTTCAGTAAAAAGAGCCATGAAGACGTCTTTTGATAACAAAACTCCAATCGACGAAGTTCTCAAAACCCTTTTATGCGAAAAAGAGACGCGCGGTCCACTGTCCCGTTCAGAAGCGGTCCAGGCAGCAGGCGTTACCTTCCATCGGCTTGTCGGGGTCGGGGCGGGCGAGCACGCGCACGCTGAGGTCGGGGAAGACGGGCAGTCCCGCGCGGAAGTGGGAGTAGTCCCGCGCGCGGTCCGCGGTCCCGTTCAGCAGGATGCTGGGCGTCTGCGGCTGCAGCACCATCACGTACGCCTCCGCCGCGCGGGCCTTCAGCACGCGGCCGTTGTCGCATCTGCATAATACACAACACTAACGCTGACGGCGAATCAACCCGCTACGAGGTGGACCGAAACTAATTTTATTTGGCGATATTGAAATAGGTGTGATTACTAATTTTTGTTTGTCTGTCAGTAACGTAAATTATTGAGAATATTAAACGCGCATTTTTTTATTTATTGTGTAATCAAATTACAGCGATACGTTGAGTTAAAATGTCACATGACGTCACGCTTATGTATATTTTCTACGAAGCCGTGACATAGCAAGCCCTCACTCAACGTGCCTCCTTTGGGCAAGTTTCATGTTATTATATTTTCTTCACGTCTATTGTTTTATTAAAATTACATTATAAGGCCGTTATGTCAGTTAAACATTTTTTTAATGACTAATGCTTAAAAATCCATTTTCTCCCTGGTACTCTGAGATGAATATAAAATATATTCAAGTATAGCATTATGAATGCAAAACTTAACAATTATAATAAATATTTATTAATTAATATATATTATTCATTTACGTTTTTCAGAAAAATTGGATTTTTATAGCATTTTTCATTACGAATATTTTTTAATATAATTTTTTTTATCACTTTATCATTAATTCATTATAAAAAAACAGTATCTAAAAATTTTAAATTTTGACTGTTTTAACTAGCACTACAAGCATAGCACATAAAAAGTTTATTTGTGGTTGCTTATTAATTTGTAACACTAAATGAAGGGTGTTTTTGCCTATAACTGTTTTTCATTATACCATATATACACATAAGCTATATAGATGCCTCATCCCATAGGGCAAAATGAGGCCGTTCTAACTCCGGTTATTTTTCGGGCTATTTTGTCTTACTTGAGTCGGCACTAGATGCCGCAAGTAAGCAAGCAACACTTAGAATTGGGCTTGGCTATTTTATGCATAAATCTCAATAGATGGCGTTGATTTGTAGCATACCATGAAGAAACGTTAATATAGATACACATTAAATATCCTCTTGAGTTATAAGTATAACAGTTTCTTGTGTCTACTAATAAATGTCTGTCTATAGTCTTTTATTTTTATTTTAAATTATCAGTCAATAAAAAAATAAACACAAAGAAAAAATGTTTTAAATAAAATATTTACAACGTATAATTATTTAAACTTATAATTATTTAAAGCATACTTTTGCTCTACAATTATGATAACTTGTAATATTACGAAAACTAGATTAAATAATCCTTTATTTCATTTTTCTGAGCTTAGGAATTTTTCCCTTGACAATTATACTGGTTATTATATATTATTTTTTCACAAACATGAAATATTGAATAATGATACATGTGTCCGTCCATCTATTGTGGTTTTTAAGAACAATTATTTTTTACTTAGCGATGAGACGCCGCGTGACTATACTTATTATTTAAGTTAATGATATGAATGTAAGTTGAGGTGTAAAAATCTTAGCAGATTTTAAAAACAAAATAAATAATATTGTGTGAAAATCCAGTAATCTATCGATTTGATCATGAATGGTTGGCCTTACTCGCCTTCTTCATCATTCTATTTCCACTCAATGTGTTGAATAAAAAACTGTTAATATTATAAAATATATAACTAACGTAATGGTGGTGTCCAGGTGTACGTTCCGTCGCCCGACGGTGGGGAATGCGCGCGCATCTCCGTATGATACACGTCTCAACAACGTCTCCACGTCCGCCACACCATCCCCCTCCACCGATACCGATCGTAGATCTATAGAAAAACATCACACACACACGGTTACAATGTTGATTATGATGACTATTTTCTTTTTATATCTCTCTTAAATCACTGTATAATAAGGAAAACCGTATTAAAATCCTTTGTGTAGTTAAAAAGATCTCAGTACAGCGGGAATCTACTTTATTTAATATATTGAAAAGATAATGAAGTTATTATTAAATTCGATTAGTGAAATCTCCCGTATAGAATAACTAACTGAAAATATATATCAATGAAACAATTTTTAAACAGTTTCATTGCATTTATATTTAGTTTTGTTGACGTTCCTTTACAAGTTCCGTGTTCTTATGTGAATAAAACTAAATACGAACCCAATAAAACCATATAAAAGTTGTTTTATCTATGGATAGTGGGCTCGAAAATATGTTTATCGAATTTCACGAGTGTTCACTGTCAAAATAGATCGAATGTATGATGTCAAGTATAGTCTATATGATACATACATAGATCAGGTGCCAGACTGAGTCCCTCCCTGCAGCGGGCCACACACTGTAGCGCGCGGGGCGCCTGCACGCCGCCCCGCAGCAGCCCCAGCCCCGCCAGCCCCCCGCGCAGACCGTGACGCATCAGACTCTCCGTGCCTGCACAAAATCAACCTACATAGTCCTACCCTCCAAAAACTATATCCAACTACCCTCCAAAAACATGTAAATCATTCCTAAAATCACAAATCAAGATAAATTCAAATAATTTTAATAGTATTATATATCTTAAAAAATTGTTAACACGCTTATAGCTTCTTGAATTAATCGGATTAAATTTTCCGCCCATTATATTATCAATACTAATACGAAAATGTAAGAGTTTCGATAATTCTTTAATAATTTTTCTTTGATAGCTTCTCTATCTGTCTCTGAGTTTCCGGATTCGAGTTCCGGTCGAAGCAAGAAAGTTTAAATTTAATTTTCATATTGTTTCGTATATGTGTGATGTGGTACTTTCATCGTTTAAGATTTCTAATTTATTTGAGGTATGAACAATTCATTTCGTTTCACCTTTAAACAAGCAATAAAAACCCTAAAAACGAGCAAAAGTAGGTACATACTGCCATTTGCTCATGACTACTTTAAGCTTTAATGAGTGTAGTTGGGTGATTGTTTAATAGATATTTATTTATTTGACACGTTAGAATTGAAGCAAGTAATATTGCTTTAAATATGTTTAAAGACAGTACTGACCCTGCCAGCAGGCGCCCACCACGAGCGTGGTGTTGAGTCCGTGCGCTGGATGCAGCGGCCAATCATCGATGACCTCCGGGCCCTTACCGTCCGCTCCGCGGTATGGCTCACCGTCGATGAACAACTCCACGTTAGGAAAGCGGACGTTGAGTGCATAGTGATGCCATTCGTTATCGCACACCTGAACGACAATAAACATACAGACTTTATCATTTCTTTATCGATTAAAACACGCATTACAGACTTAAAATCGGCAATTGTCTTTTTTAATTGAGATGACCCACTCGAAAGCTTACTCTGTTGTTCCACGAACAAAAATTTGGAAATTTCGATCAGAGGCAGTGTCAGGTCCTTCTTCTGTTACATGATAAATTATCGAAAAGTTGGATTCTTTTCTAAACGAAATTTTATTTTGAAGAAACAGCCTTCTTATATATTTTTTAAATATTATTTATTACATCTTACTTCACTTCTTTACCCATCATACAACGTTTAAATATTTGTGAAGACATTAAATTACATGCAAAATGATAAAGAACGATTTTATATAATTAATAAACAGCATATTTCAAATTTGATGTCAGTAGACTAATAAAAAATTACAATTGACAGAATCTTATGACACGAATCACAAGTTTAAAAAAAAGCTATCATAGACTCACCTCTGGAATCTTCCATCGCCATTCGGCAGGACGGAAGACGTTCAGATCACCATTATCGAAGTCGCGACGTAAAAGCAAAATCAAACGGCAGTTCCGGACGAACACGGCATAGTGATGACGGTTCATTTCTGTGAATACAATACGATTATTTTAATAGTGGTAGCAGTGGAATTTCTACTTAAAAATAAAATAAAATTTATTAATTATATACCGATAATGTATATATAAATAAGTAGTCCAAATTCTTTTAAAGTGGTCTTATAAAAGAGGGTCAAGTGAAATTATCGTCGTTTAATATTAAATATAAATACACACATAAACATGTCTATGGATATTTTGTATAAAATTCTAAATTCAAAAAATACTGGCTGGTTTTAAAATCTTTTGATGAAAACTTATTTTGTACGCCTTTTTTGATGATTCCAAATTTGAATTAAAAAATAATAATTACAAACAAAAGATTTGCGCGACATAAATCTCGTAAAATCACCACTCTGCATACATCAACCAACCTTACTCACAAGGTGTAGAAGAAGGTTGGTGTTGGGTAGAGTATGGTAGGAGTAAGGTTGGTTGAGTAAGGTGGCGGAGGGGGCGAAACACGTGAAGAGTAGCAGTTTTTCAAGCTATATTGTCCTTTGTACATGTGAATTTATGTGAAGTGCACAGCAGAAAATACAGAAAGCATTCATAATTTAATGAAATTTTATTATTGCTGTTTTAAATTAAAGAATTAAACAAAAAATTACTTGTGAAATGACATCGAACAAAAAGTGATATTAAAACATAAATATAAAAATAAATTAAAAGGATTTTTTTTATCTATCAAGAAAATCATATTTGATAGTTGTTTATAATGATTCTCCTTTAATAACAAGGCCTACAGTACAAAGAGTTTGTGTAATGTTTTATAATTATCAAGATAATTATCAAACTATATTTATCAAGATAATTATCGTGATAACTGTCATTGATAATTACGAATGTGTATACTGACTGTGGTCATCGGCGAGACAGAGCAAATGCTCCTTGGTGTGCTTGTCCGCGTCAGGTGCGGGCGCGTGCCGCAGCCACGCCGTCACGCTGAAAGTCTCCGGCAGAGAATGGGCAGACACTGACTCCGGCACCACCGCCGATGTGTCACCGTCGAATTCGAACATTTGCTCGCCCTCCCGACCTACAATCGTACGATCAGCGTTTAATAATTAAACAAATAGCTCGGTGGCGTAGTGGATGAACGTCGCGACCCGCGATCTTTGTTGGTAAGCACCTTTCGCAAGGGTCGTTCACGAGATGGGTGATCAGAAAAATAGTATCTCGAGCTAATACGTGCTTCGGAAGGCACGTTAAGCCATTGGCTCCGGCTGCATTTGTAGCCGTTAATACCCTCCAATCCACATTGGACCAGCGGGGAGGGTCATAGCCCATCCTCCTCAACCATCCATAGGGAAGGTCTGAGCTAAAATAGGTTTGATGGTGATGAGGAAATTAACAATTCGCTTACAACATGAAATTAACTTTTAACAGTGTACATTCTATATTATAAAATTAACCCAACTAACTTGGTAAACATAAACTTTTAATATTTGTCCGTAGTATGACTCACCTGAATCAGGTTTTAATGATTTGACCCATTCGTTTCCAGCTCCAGGACTGGGCAGAAGGTCAATCGTCTTTGGATCCAAACCTGGAATAGCAAATTATAAATTTAGTATGTGTCAATTTTTATTGAATTTAATGTTTCTTAAATTAATTTAAGCAATGATCTAACATCATATCAGCGCATAATATTAAACAATGAATTATCAACTATCGAAGGAATTTTAACATTAAGATCTATTTACGTTCCTGAACACCAGACTTAAAAAGAAAGGATAGATAATTTTATCAAACCTTTGCACTCACAACGGTTTAATCTGTACATAATGATTATTAAATGTGAACTATTGCATTATTATCTCACAACTGAGACAAGCCAAAATAATTTATAATAGTATCGTATTAAAGTCGCCCACCGCATGCAGCCTTCTGAGCGTGTAGGGCATAAGTGTCCCGATCGCAGGCGGCGCCGCGCGAGGTGTGCAGCGTGACGGCTGCCTGAATTCGAGTTACTCCTGGACAACGCTCGTCCGACTGACAGGCTTCCAGCCGAGCCTCCGGGAACAGCGCCAGAGGACCGCTGCCCGGGGCGTAGTCTACACGTTCTGCTATACCTTTAAATAAAATAAATAGACAAGATCACATACTTTTCTTTTTCTTCAACTTTTCAACTGTTTATTCTGTTTATTCTATTCCGCCTTCACTGTGCTGTATTGATATTTATTTATCTTGAAGAAAAATGCCCATTTACCTGGGAGCCTACTCTGTTTATTCTGTACTTTTTCGTCAGGATCAGTCAGGGCTAGGAATTCCTTTGATACAAGGATAATCTTATTCATTTCGATTTTATCAAAATTAATAAGATTAATGATTGACTTGTGCTGCATATAACTAAAATCTTTTTTTATAGAAATAAGTTTTACAATAGACAAAGAGTTTTCATTAACCAACCAAAAATTTATTTAATTTTCCTTTATGGAAATAAACGTGGGACACGACATAAAGAGGAAAATAATTAATATTGCTGACTTTGATTGATCCAGTTTGGGGTCCCAAATGAAGAGCAACAAGTTGTTGTATAATTATTTATTATTTGAATACGCAAAATTATAAACTCCATTTAGATATAAACTGGATTAAACTAGATTAATCCTGTAGCGGAGGTAAAGTTTCCATATGATTGATTACTACAACTAGCCACACTTTAAACAGAACACTTCTCTGAATCAATGAATTTATTTATATAAAAACAAAATTAATATTATGGACTCAATAAGTACTACTTATGTATGTATTGGAAAATTCGTTAAAATATAATGAAACTTGCTTGAGGGAAGAGGGATATATATGGAGAAATATTTCGAAGTACAGAAATAGTAATACCTGAAAATCTAATTAACATCTTAATGGCATAAAAATGGATTTTCTATAAAGTAAATATACATTTTAAATCACTTTAAAAGAGGAAAACAGAATTCATATCAAAATGTCTTTTAGATGTTTAAAACACATTTTTAAATCAATCGAAAAAGGCATTACAAAAATAATGTTGAAATCACGTTTTTGTATTCTAAGAGTGTGACATTCCCACCAAACCTACAAAATAATAAAATTGATAACTTATTAAATATTATTTATTGATTTAATAATCTAATAAGTGTACTCACCCTTCCACCCAGCTCTGCAAGGCTTGTTGACTTTTATGGTGACCATAACAGGTACAGACTGCAGCATACCACAGTCGTACGCAACCACTGACAGAATATGGTTATGCGACTTCTCGTAGTCCAGAGGCTCAGTATTCCGGATAACGCCTGTTCAAGATTAAAAAAACACTTAGATGGGGTTCAACTGAGCAATGGTTAAAGCAGAATTAACATCACGAAAGTAGTTGCATGAAACTAGTTTCATTGCATTAAAGATGTCAGCGTTTTCATTTTCTGCCATTAGACCAAAGAAGAGAAATGTCAGATGTTACGTTTCTCCTTAAAATCATCATCATTATAATTATCAGTCCTTTATTTCGTCCTCACTGCAGATGCTCAGGCCTTCCTTATGGATGGTAAAGGAGCATGGGCCATGATGGTATTAACGACTACAAATGCCGTCGGGACCAATGGCTTAACGTGCCTCTCGAAGCACGGAGTAGTTTGAGATAGTAATTTTTGGTCACCCATCCCGTGACCGTCCCTTGCGAAAGTTGCTTAGCGACAACGATCGCGTGCCGCGGCCCTTATCCACTACTCCTTAAAATATTTCTAGGTAATATAGATTCTCTACAGCTGCTGAGTGACAACGCGATATACAAAAAACCTTTCTCAAAAACGAACTACCATTTTAATTCATTTATAAATAGAGCACCCAAACTATTCAACTCATTATGTTAAAGCACTGAATTAGATTTATTTAGTACGAGCATTCCAGGAAAAAAAAACAAGGATTTTTTTTTTTTTCAAAATTAAAGTGCGTGTTATGTAATATCTAGCATACAGTGTATATGTATATATTTCATGCTACTAAATTCTTTTGATTGCAAGCAATTTCAAAAGAAGTGTGCCAAAACTTTCCAGTTTCGAGACTACTGTCGTAATATAAATTCGGCTCAACTTATTCGTACTGCAATTGCGTAGTTTCACCAACTGTTAAAAGTCCTGTTTTCAGATGAGTGATCAAGAAGTTATTATATCGATCTCTCCTGCTTCGGAAGGCACGTTAATCGTTTGGGTCCAGGTACATTTGCAGTCGTTAATATCCACCAATTAACAATGGGCCCGCATGTAGATTTATGGTACGTATCCCCCATATGTTTCTGTCCATAGGATGAAACCTATGCCCCCACGGTGGAGATATTAATAGCCTGATAATGTTGACGAATCTACGTTATATTTTGCTTAAGTTCGATATTAAAATTACTACTGAATTATATTTATAATATAATCGATTGATCTTTACTGAAATCAAAAATTATCCACTCTGATTAAATTATAGACAATGTTCATGTCTAGGTAAATGCTAATTCTACTATATATTTCGAAAAGAAACATTTAACGACCAAAATTACGTTACATACATAAAATATCAAAAGAAAAATAGTCATATTAGCAAACGAAAAAGAAAAAATAAATTTCGAAAAAAAAAAAAACATAAAGCCAATCAGGACCCTACCTCATTACATGTTTATTCGACATAAGGTGTGCCGCATCAACACTGATATTATTTACTTTGAAAAATGTATTTAAACAGGTACAGCAATCATTTCTTACTTTCATAGCATGGATTTCATGGAATGTAAGAAGATACTATTTGTCTATATTACCTTCATTATCGATAGTGAAGGGCTGACTCCTGTCGGTCAGTATTTCGTATTTGCACACATCTCCGTATCTCGGCGTGCAGTCTTTATCGGTCGCTTCCACCCTGAGGATCTCGTCATAAATTCTTCCCTCGTCGACAGCCTTCACGTAGGATGCTTGCGAAAAGACCGGTGCGTACTCATTCACGTCGGTCACAGTAATGTGCACTGGGACACTGTGAACATGATTAGATGTATTAGATATTAAAGTGGCAATGCCAAAATATATTTTCTTCATAAAATATATTTTCCAGAGTATTAGACAGAGATTTCATATTTATCTCATTATTTTACGATATTGACACACTGCTTTCGTTTCTTCAAAAATACCAAGATCATTTTTATGAATATTCTAATAGATAAGTTTATTCTTTATTTGCATCAAAAGTTACACAGGGGTATTAAATTATCATGCGTGCTATAGAAGATGGCTAGGAAAAGAGAAGTGATTAATATTATTTATCTTATGAATGTGTATTTGTATTAGTGTGGAATTATAATGTAACAGTTGGAGTTTACTGACGTGTTGGAGTAGGATCCATCACAGCCGACGGCGGCGATGTCGAACTTGTAGTTGCGTCGCTTCTCGCAATTGAGCGGGTAGCGTACACGCAGGCGAGCTTCGTTTTCGTCTATCACCATTATCTGTTGACAAACCAACGCTGATTTAATTATTTGAAAAACAAATACAACAAAATTTGTAATAAAACCTTGCACGTGGAACACATTTGTAGGCAATTATTATTTATACGTTATTTATACCTTCACAATGCTAATAATTAAAAAATTCTAGTGTGGTATCGGAAAAAATATTTAATCAAGTTCGAGATCGTCAGTTGTTTAAAGTAGAATGCGCGCATTCTTACCACAGCTAAAGAGAGTTCTGAATGAGTAGAGAATATAAAGTATTTAAAATACGAGGGTCAAACTGAAAGTTCTTAGAACTGGCCACTTATAAACAATATAATAAAAAAATAATTCTAAAATTTGAAAATATAACTCTTTGCCAATATTACTGAGTATATATTTCATTCATTTGTCATTTGTTTTACGATTTGGCGGCAAATTGAAAATTGTCTGTGTCACGTCATCATGAATTTAACACGAGAAAATTTTCGTGCAATGATTTTTTATGACTTTCAATGTCATTTAAGTCAACAAGAAAGTTATGATAGACTACGATTGGCCTTTCACGATGAAGCCCCATCTCGTGCGACTGTTTACAACTGGTTTAATGAGTTTAAACGTGGTCGCACTAATCTCACTGATGATTTACGTGAGGGACGGCCTTCTACGGCGACGACTGAAGATAACATCTGTGTTGTGCGGCGTATGATAGAGACTGACAAAAGAGTGACCTATCAACAGATTCGGACAAGCTTAGGCATCGGTATGAGTCAAGTGCACAAAATCCTCCACGAACATTTAGCGGTCAGGAAGCTTTGCGCCCGGTGGATACCTCATAATTTGACTGAGGCTCAAAAACTCCATCGTGTGGATTGGTGTCGTAAAATGATTGAAAGATTTAACGGAGGTGACTCAAATGCTGTGTTCGACATACTAACAGGTGACGAAAGCTGGATTTACTGTTATGATCCTAAAACCAAAAGACAATCTGCTCAGTGGGTGTTTCCTTTCGAGGAGTTGCCAACTAAAGTGAAGAGAGATCGAAGTGCGGGAAAAAAAATGGTGGCCTCGTTCTTTGGAAGGATAGGTCATTTTGCAACAATTGTGTTAGAGGATCAAAAAACAGTTTCTGCAGAATGGTACACTACCAATTGTTTGCCACTTATCTTGGAAAAAGTTCGAGAGAAACGACCTCGCAGTAGGATCCTCCTTTACCACGACAACGCCTCGTCGCACACCGCCAAGCGAACGATCGACTATTTGGCGACATCAAACGTTGAATTACTGGGTCACCCGCCGTATAGCCCCGACCTCGCGCCTTGTGATTTTTATTTATTTCCAAAAATTAAAGAAAAACTTAAAGGAAAGCGGTTTATGAATGCTGAAGAAGCGGTGGCTGCGTATCGCGATGCCATTGAAGAGACCCCTAAGGACGAGTGGGCAAAGTGCTTTTCCCAGTGGTTCCATCGCATGCAGCGGTGTATTGACGTGAATGGACAATATTTTGAAAAGATATAATAAAACTAATAACTGGCTAATGTAATCAGTTTTTGATTTTCTAAGAACTTTCAGTTTGACCCTCGTAGTTTTATTAAATCTGCCAATTTCAATAGAGAAAATTTTAGTCATACCAATTGGACTAGGGATAATTGAAAAGCCTTAACGAAAATAGCTCTTTGTGTTTGTTCCGCTCCAATCGTTACTCTAACTTGTTTGTTTCCACTCGGAAAACGTTAAATTGTATTTTCTAGGAAGGAGCGTACAACGTCCACATATCAACATCAAGCTTTTCATATTCTATATAGAAAGTTAATACTATCGGTACTATTTTAATTGTATCACAACGAAGACATCTATTCAGTTTTATTTTTCATTCAATGAGACTCACGTTGTGAGAGTTCAGTGCTCTTGTGAACTTCAAGTTGAACTAATAACGTTTATTTTACATTGTCTTATCTTTAAGTTTAATTAACTACTTAACTTCTTGGTTTTAATTTGGTTTGTGATATAATTAATGAACTAGTACTAAAAGAACTACATTGGGTTATAAAATGTAACAAAAAAGCATAACATAACTACACTCCACTATGACGTAAAAGAAGAACAAACAAAAAAAAACAACATAATATAGATTAAAAAAATTTCATTGAAACTGTTGATTTACCTTTAAATATTAAATAAAAATTGGCGAGCATATATGAAAAACGTTATGAATGCCAAGGAAACGAAAGCGAGACATTTGTAGAAATAATATCGTGTCTTCTGGTATTCAGTTTTGTCTGTCTATAGATACTGAATCGCAAATATTTGAAAAGATACAAATATTCTTCAGCATCAAAGATCTCTACGTGTACAGTACTGTGAAGAACAACGAGAATACTCACATTGTTGCAACTAAAACAATGTTCTAGTTCAGGTATCAGAGAACAAACTTTACGTACCAGCATAAAAGTGCAATAAAGTTATTTTTTTCGAAATTCAGCATATTACCAACAATATCAAATAACATAAGAATTTATAGTTTCTTTATGAAAAACTAAAAGAATTTAACATATCAAAGACAGACACTGACTAACATATGAAAATGTATCGTATTTAGATTTAAGTAAAGTTTTCGCAAAGGTAGCCTTCACTTAAATCGTGCAATAACTTGCATATTCGAAATTCCAATATGAAAACAGTCAATTCCAGCATTAATCAATCGCCAAAGTACATTACTCTCTGCTCAACGTAAATACAGTTCTGAACCAACAACATAATATGAAATATTCAACTCGGATGATATGAATATTTCATTAAATATTCCTCTTTCAGGCAGTGAACATAACGTGTGCATTTGTGTCGCAAAAAAATGCAACAAAACCACCTCTAAAGGGGAAACTATCCCGATAAAAATAAACTAGAAGCTATTCAAAGTGGCACCAGTCGTAAATAAAGTGACAGGGCTACCGTTACAAGGAGAAACTGCGATCGTTCTGTATCTCGGTTGAGGTTCATTCGAGAAATAACCGTATCATTTCTAACTAATGTTGTTTCTGAAATAAAATAAGGAGAAAAACAATCATACTTCTCATCAGTAAAAGATATATTGCCTAGATTCGAGTAAAATACATACAACTTACGTCTTGACATGCTTAAGGTGTGAATAAAGTTTATATTTGCGTTTTACAAGAATAAATCGAAATGTAACTTACTAATAATATTTTGAATAGTAAATATAAGAATTCAGTAACAAAAGAATTGATTTATCAGCCAAGTAGTTTAACTTGTAAAGAATCAGGCCATTTAGGGATGCTATAAATAGCTCCAGGTATTTTAAAAGCATATTTTTTTTTTATAGTAAAGCAACTATTCAGTAGCAGACTAGACAACCCTATTAGAGTGAGGTTATTCTTGACATAATCGATGTTGCAACCCGTCTTGAATTTATTGTAGAACGTATTTATTTCCAGATTACAACGAAATAATTAAATATAGAATAATATTGCCTAATCAATTTTTTTCTATTTGTCTATCATCACCAGCCCTTTTACGTCTCCACTGCAGGGGCTCAGGCCTTCCTTATGGATGGTTAAGGAGGATGGGCCATGACCCTCCATGCTGGCCCAATGCGGATTGGAGGATATTAACGACTGCAAATGCAGCCGGGACCAACGGCTTAACATGCCTTCCGGAGCATGGAGTAGCTTGAGATAATAATTTTTGGTCACCCATCCCGTGACCGATTCTTGCGGAAGTTGCTTAACGACTACGATCACGGGCCGCGGCGCTTATCCACTACGCCACCGAGCTACTCTATTTGTCTATATAAAATAAATATTTTTGCATGCAAAAATAATACATCATCAAGCGCGCACAAAAGCTCTTTCGGGTTTATCAGTGGCGGTGGAGTTCGGATACAATCATTCTAAAGTAATAATTACAATATTATTTAAAGTAAATAAGATAGTTACATAACGCTATTTTATTATTCAACAATGCAATTGACAGAAGGTGCACCAAGCAAACTCAATTAATCTTACTTAGAAATAGATAAAAACAAAAATTTATATAGCGTTATCATTATGACCTATAATCAAGAAAGTATTTTTTCAAATATTTTTTTTATAATTACACTTATTCACATAATAAGATACAGATTTATCTGTTATTTCATTCAATATCGCCGGTAACATATTTCCATTTCTTTTTCCATAATAGTTATTATATTAAGGTAACACAGGTTATGATAGCAATCTTCAGATCAGGGAAGCTACTATAACATTAGTAGCTTCCCTGATTTGAAGGTAATGGCACTTCTTTGGCCTTACAATAATTTAAATAATTTTCTCACTGTATTACTTCATTAAACGCAAAATATTAATAGTGCAATAGTGTCTATATAGTAAGAAGAAATGTGTAAGAAAGATTTAAAATATACTACAAAAATTAGCTAAAAATACATATGGCATTAAATTAAGTACATAAAACGTAACAACTTTCATTATAATAGCTATAAACATAAATGTACAAATAACAAAGATATTACAAAGATTGCCCATATGTTTTTCGGTACCGGAGCACTGTGTAAATTAGTGCGTTGAATTTGTAGGGAGCGTTTTCGACCTAACTACTTAATTTGGGTCTGGGCAGTGTTTATGAAATTGTTTAAAATGTGCCATTTATTTATTTGTCTTTCCTAGTTGTTATTGATGATATAACAACTAGGACATCATTTTCATATTGTTTTCATGTTTTTGCGGATTATATATTCCAATGAGTGTTGGAATGAATCGCCATTGATACGTTATAACTACTTTATCATTTGCGGAATTGAGCCCCAGGCACATTAATTTATTGATTACAGAAGACACCTTGATCACTTTTCCACATTAAACAGCTTTTTAGGGAAATATGAAAGCGTATAATTGAATCTAGTGCAATAAGTGCCAGCTTGTAACTTTATGTTTACTTTAATTAATAAATAATTATAAAACCATCTCAGGCAGCCTGTCGAAGGATCAGTTCTCCATGCATTG